AAGTGGACGATAATAATTTTATTCGTGTAACGTTTATATTGAATGACACTTGATCTGCAATGTCCCGCGACTAATAACCTCAGTGGATGACACACCAGAAAAGATGTCAAAGGAGGAAGTTAACAATTTATTAAAAACACGTCACACATGTCCTAAATCACCCACACCTGCACCTATTGATGTAACTTCTTTACCTTTGTTAGAAAAAGATTCTTTTAAAGTTTAACTTTACATAAATTCTGCAATGTTATATTTTGGTATTTTTTGTATGAGATTTAACTTGATTTGGAGTCGGTTTCTTTCTATGAATTCGTTGTAACATGATGAGAGAGGGCTTGATTTTTCCGTTAATAAAATAATTGGTCAGTTAATATAGTTAGTTGACTATTATTATTTGTCGTTCAAAAGTTTAGTCTACTACTATTTTGGTTGATTCCAATATCATTTTGTAACCATAATTATAATAATTTCATTTGGTTTTAAATGTGCATTCTTTTTAAGCATCAACGTACAGATATATCTTTTTTTTTTTCATTAGGAAAAAGGCAATGACAATCGATACCAATAAAAAAATGGACATTTTTATCATCTTTATTTATCGGTGTTCTTGGTTGAAAATTTACAAAATAAATTGTATTTCGGATTCAAGCAATAATAAGGTCACGCGATCAATAACTTAAAATTAACATAATGAAATTCATCAAATGTGTTATGAAGACTATATAAATGAACTTTAAGAACTCCAAGAAAAACGATTTCTCGGTAATTAGGTCTATAAACATGGGACAATCAACAATCGCAAGAATTTTTTATCTTGAAATTTATAATAATTAGCATAGTAATTAATTAATTGGTCTACTTTTTGGCTTTCATATTATTAATACGAGTAAAAGATTAAAAAAATCCAAGGTTTTGCATCTTCGACATTATTATTATCTTTAACTTATTGCTTTTATATACTAATAATCTTTGTACTATATAAAAACACACACAACCATAAAACAATTGATACTAATCGATAATGATCTTATGGTATAGTTTGTACGTAGTAGTTAATAATCTTTCCTCACCTAAGTGATTAATTAATACTTCCTTTGGAAGATGTCATTCCTTTATGAAGAGATGCTTTTAACGGATCCAAGAAATTTACTTTATTGTAGTTATTGTTTACAGCCAGGTATAAAGATAAACAAACATCATGTCACAGTTAAATGAAAGATGATCGATATTTTGCTGGAAGTACATGCATATTGGGTTTCAAATCTTGTCAAAAAACTCGGTCATCAAAATGTTTTTTGAGCTTTGTTCAGTTAATAAATTGAATAAGCAATGTTTTGTCCCAATATGTCTTATAATCTCACAAACTTGTGACCAAAAAATACTGATGAAAGTTATTATTAATAATTATCATTATTCTAGTTACACACACACATTGTAGCAGAGACATACAGAATTCAAAAAATTTTTTTTCTTTGACGATCACAGAATTTCAGCTTTATTTATTACTCAAAAATATATTTAATGATTTAACTTGTGAAATTTTTACTGCTGCTAATTCTACTTTTAGTATTTTGTTGATCACCCTGCAAGCCTGAACTCTTCAAGGCACGTTTTCAATCAAATCCAACAAATCGCATTATCTTATTCATCATTTAAAGTCTTCCTCAAGCTTCTTGAGAAATTTCCCTCATAGTAATGTAAGTTGGATATCTTACCCGACTTAATGGAAAATCCCATACTACATACGACTGTGTATGCCATACATATATATAAATAGGAAAGATTGTGTTGAAATTGCTGACCATGGGACGTTTGTTTGCTTGTTCGTGAGTCTTTCTGAAACAATCACTCAAGTGATTTACGAGTCTGAAAGATTGATCCTTTTGGAAAAGAGTAATTAAAGTCATTTGGGAACAGTGATGTTTGTAAAACAGATAGCCCTTTATTTCCATGCTTCTGTAGTAAAACAAGTATCATAGTATGTAATTTTTGATATGGTTTTTTGAATTTTTTTTTTTTTTTTGAAAATATTGACTCGGTTTAACGAGTTCTGACTGTACTATGATAGAAACCATGCATTAATACTAAAATCAAAAAAAACAACAATAAATAAACAAACAAATAGCTTTTATTGCGAAATAATTAATTTTGTTCCTTTATTGAATCGATCACACAAGTAGTAGTCAATTTAAACAGCATCGTTTTTAAAGAATTTATTCAAAATAATATTATTTAAATGTATAAAGTTTAATGATTTTTAATGTTGCAAATTTTTTTGATACATCAATCACAGTGCAAAATCAATCATATTTTATATACTTTAAAGTTTCTTTATTTCTTTTTTGATAAATAACAAATTTATCCTTTGTTTATTTTATTTGTTTTAGTAGATTTTATTAAATCAAATGGTTACACTACAGAAAATTTTTCGGAGAACCAAAAGTGTATCAATTACACGAAAACATACTATTAAATTAACTTATTATAAAGTTACTTTTAAAGTACAGCGAACAACATAACATGTTACGAAAATAATTAATAATATGGAAATAGATTACAGTGATTATTATTACGTATAGTGTTTTCAATTTAGCGAATTAACGTCAAATTCAAATCCTTTTTAAATACATGCCAATCATAATCATTCTTAATTACACCAATTAAATTCATTCAAAAACGAAAATGTAAAACTAAAGCTAATACTGTAATATACATCAGTGATATGTATCAAATATGTAACCCCTTTAATGAAACTCATTTGAGATTCGGATTCAAGCACTATTACTATGCAGTATATTCATATCATGAATGAAGATCGTATAAATTATCAAAGATATGAAGATGGTATTTGATATGGTATTTGATTACGAAGAAGTATGTAGATATCTCAAGGTAAAATATTCTTAATTCAAGTATACTTAATGTGTACAGTAATGCACCCAAATTTTATTTTCTATGTAAATCGATAAGTAAAAAATTAATAAACATATAAAATTCAATGTTATTGATTTTTGATTATGTGCTAGCAGAAAATCTATTAATTAGCAATATATATATAATATATATTAAAAACGACCGAACCAAAAGGAGCAGCTTCTATTAACATTGTGTGTTTGGTTCACCAGTTTTTTAAACTTGGGAGTGCCAAGAGTGTCTTGTTTGAATATTGCTTTTGTTGCCAAAGGTTCTGAATCGCCTGGATTACAAAGCTTAGTATAGAGAACTGCAAATGATTTATGAAAAATATCTTGTGCTCTTAAAAATAATTCTATATCATCTACAAAAGATGGCATATCTTTTAATGATGCCGGAATTAATGTTTGTCCGATGTGAACCATAGTGTATATTCCTTGAACAAGGTCCATGATATAATAGTCAATTTTATAATCTATAAAAGTAGATGTTTAAAAAGTGATTAAAAGTATTAAGAGAAAAAAAAATTCATAATAACTTTCCTTACCGATACATTGGAAGCCCAACACCTTTATATCCACACCTTTATCAATTGATGAGTCTAGACTGTCTTTCATAAATATGCTCAAGCGGATTAGATCATTACAATTTTTGTATACATCTCCTTTTTTTGAAGGAGGACTAACCTCACCTACAAATATTGTTGCACAAGATTGTAATTGACAGATAATAGAAACGATAAAGTCTGGCTGCTTAGCCCGACCTTCAAACTTTCTTGCTTTGGATTCATCTAAAGCCGTATTTGGCCATTGTACTACGTGCTTGTCAGGGTCATTGAAAAATCCTTTCATAATACGGTCAAGGAAATTAGTATAATGCGTTATTTCACTGTGTTGATTTCTTATCTTTGAAGTAGGCAACGTTCTCAAGCAGTCTAAGACAACAAAACCTAAATCTTTTCTTAAAGAAGGTACGTTTGAGAGCCTTCCACATAGCCAATTGATGACATCATCGCGTGATCCATTCATTGCCATCTTGACCGCTTTTCTGAATGTTTCTTCAGAATTCGAATCTAATAATATTTGTTGTTTTGGTTTAAATTTTTCATGAATTTGATTAAGCAGAGGCAGTCCAAAATGATTAACCATCGTATCTGAATATGAATCTGAGGCAAGTAATAAAATTGACGATAATGATAATATCTCTTGTACATTGGATTCTACGAATAAACCCTTTGTGTTTGCAAGGTTAAATGATTGATTTTGATAATTCCGAAAAAGTAAAGACATATTAATCTCTCCTACATATAGATCATTCGCTGGATCTACATTTTTGAAAGAGAATTTGAATGGAACATCGTCAATTATGATAACATCGTCATTCTCAATGAATGGATTATCTTCATCAGGACTTCTTGGTGAAGGAGTAATGTGTCCGTCTCGCTCTTGCCATCTATCTTCATTATAATCAACCCTTTGTCTCTTCCTTAAAGAATAAGGTTTGCTAGGCGTAGCTGACTCATCCTAGATTATACCAAATTGATTTGATGTTGAATTAATTGTGTCACTTTTTACCAAATGATGTTAGGCCATATAAATCCTACCAGCTCTGTATTAACATTCCTCATAATTGTTTCAACACCTTCTTCGGTCCCTTGTGTCATAACACGAGCTACCTTCACCTACAATTCAGAACAATAATTAGTACTACAACATAGAATTAAAGTAGGTAAAAAATTATTGACCTGGTCCAATTGCAGTTGTTTTTTTTCTTTGTCATATTGTATGTCCAAAGATTCGCATTCGATTTCGTTCCAGAATTTATCAACATCTACACACCTATTCCGATGACTCTACAAAAATAATAAATATGCATTTTTGTTACTATTTTTCTATTAAAATTCTACTGGCAAAACAGACCACAACGGGATCTAATGAACGCCGTAAGGTCAGGTGGAACGCATGCACCTGCCATAGTTGTGTGAGTGTTACCCCTTCTCGGGACTGCTGGAGGACCCCACCTCTACAAGAGAGGCATATAATACAGCCAAGCTTGTAGACCACAACGGGATCTAATGAACGCCATAAAGTGAGCGGGACGCACGCGCCCACCGTAGTCGTGGAAGATTTTTCCCCTTCTCGGGACTTAACAGGGACCTCCATACTGTCTGCCAGTAGTCCGCCTGCAAATGATTAAATGAAAAGATACTTGCCTTAAAAACATTGAGCAAGCGTTGAGCTGCTGTTTGTTTCTCTGGAGTTGATCCATATTCCACCAGATGTTCCAAACATTTGCGGAGTCTTTGTGCTTCTAAACGAAAATTATTTGTAAAATCTTTCTGGCTTTTACGATGTTGGTAATAATCAAGAAACTGATATTTTGCTGGTGCAGTTTCCTTGAAATACTGGTCAAGAAGATAGTTCATGATTTCAGATTTATATTTTAATTTGTAAACAATTAAAATTATTATTTTAGGTAATATAAACATAGTGGGCTTTCCCTGTGATTGGCTTATTTATTTTGGGTAAAATTATGATCATTACCCAAATAAATTTATTTACCATTAACAATATTAATAATAACTATATAATACATAACAATGAAATAATTTTGACAACCCAAGATTGTCATATTAATATTAATATAATAATCAATCATCTATTATAGTAAAAGGTAAGAATAACATTTCGTTAATAAAACCAAGTCAGTACATAGTTAAAAGGCGAATTAAACAATAAAATACAATAAACTATAATAAAATAAAAAAATAAAATAATGACAAAAGTGACAAAATCTTCAGGGAAAAAAAAATTAATATATATATACAAAAATCCAGACAAAAAACAAAATTAGGACATTTTCAAGAAATGAAAAAATACATTTCAATTAGACACTTACAAAGGAATAGAAGAATCTATTAATACAATTAATGATAATAAAAACACTTCAATTGAAGATGTTGATATGAATGAAAATAAATATAGGGATAATTTTTACTAAAACTGCAGGTTATACTGGAGCCTCTACTCAAATGATCAACAAAAAAAATATATAGCAATTTTTTTTGACAACCAAACTGATCTCAACTTAGCAATTGAAATACCAATCCAAATTTCTGAAAATGAAAATTATCAATTTGTTGAAATCAGCACAATTAGAACCAAATCAACTAATGAACAAATCAACAATATTAATGCATGCACAGTTCAGGTGTGTGATATTCCATTGGGTATCCAAACCCCTAACATTCATTCAACTTTTTCTAGATTTGAGACTATTGTCAAATTGTCAGTACAAACATGAGCATATGCTTTAAAAAAGAATAGAACTCTGCAACAAATATTTTTTTGGAGAAAATCTCTTCATTACATTAAAAGTAGAAACCTATTTTACCAACTAATGAGGCTATTTTTTAAAAGGTAGGACAGAAAATGACTTCTATACTTTTAAAATTTGCCCAAAATTTAGGAGGTCTTTAGACCAAGCCAACTATAATAATAGTTTGTTAAATAATAATATAAAATATGTTCATATTTGCTGTGGCTGGGTTTGTGATCACCACCAGATCACAATAGGTCAAATTTAAATCTAGGCCATAATTATTTTTCATGGGGAAGTTGACTAAATTTTTCAATTTCTCTTCACAAGTTACTGAACAATTATATTTTTTAAATCGTTTACTTAAAATTATTCCATTGATAATCTAAGTTTAATTCCATTAATATACTTTCCTCAATTTTAAAACAATTATAAAAAACTACAAAGTGAACACAAAATTATATATATAGGGATAAGTGTATATGAAAAGTAATAACAAGTACAATGGTTCTGCTGAATATCAAAAAGCCATTGATTTTTTAGAAAAAGGTTGTGACTGTGGTTGCTCTTCAAGAATTCCTAAGGAAAAATTTGCAGAATGAAGGGAATCCTTTCAAGCCCTCTCTAAAATAGAGCAAGACATATTTTTAATGGCCCAACTTAAAGCAATGAATGGTGGATCAACAAGTACTAGCAGACGCCTTAAAAAGAAAACTAGATCTAATAAAAGAACCTTCTATCATTGGGATCACAATACACTTCTTTGTCAAGAAACTTATCTCAATATGTTGGGAATTGGTAGAACTTATTTTGAAAATATCAGAAATCATCTGATAAACAATGGTCTTTTAGCAAGAATTCATGATAATATTAAAAGATACCTGAATGGAAAACCAAAATGGTGATTGATAAAAATGTTGCAGAAGTAGTAAAGAATTTTCTAGAAAATTATGCAGAAGTTCATGGATTACCAAGTCCAGGAAGAAGTATTAATAGAATAACCCAATCAATTGTATTCTTACCAGCTGAAATGAGTTATAAATCAGTCCACAGAGATTTTCTAGCTGGTCTGGAAGAAGATAATAATTTGGAATCTTTAAAATATGATGCTTTCAGAAAATTATGACATCAATTAACACCAGAAATTCGAATTATGAGTCCCAGGACTGACTTGTGTGATACTTGCCAGCATTTTAGAGATGGTCCACATTATAATGCTCTCCAAGAGGAAGATGCTAAAGATTTGCTCAAAAGGTTTAAAGAACATCTGTCTAAGGCCAAATTAGAGAGAAATTATTATAATAAAAACACTAAATTAGCAGAAGAACAAAGAAAATTAGTTGATCAACATTATTCAAAGGGTAAAACACAATATTGCAGTATTGATGCCACTACACATTATAGTTATGATTGAGCCCAAAATGTTCATATACCACATTTAGATCAACAAGTAAGTAAAATCTATTACCTTAGTTCATGTAAAGTTCATTTATTTGGTATTCAAGATGAAGCAGTAAGGGAACAAATTAATTATGTTCTTAATGAAAATGAAATTATAGGAAAAGGCCATGATTTTTGATGGAATTAAGAAATTGAACAAAGATGAAAAGCATTTAAAGATTACTTGCGATAATGCTGGTGGACAGAATAAAAATAATACTACTATTTAGTTTTATTTATATTTAGTAATTTGTGGTTATTATGAAAGTACTGAGTTAAATTTCATGATTCCCAGACATACTAAATTCAAATGTGATGGTAATTTTGGCATGATTAAAAAACTCTATAGAAGAACAAGAGTAGATTGTCTGGATCATGTGGTTGAAGTGGTAAAAAAGTCTAGTCCAGCTGGATTGAATAAAGCTCAATGTTATGAAAGTGGAAAAGGTTTTCAATACTTAGATATTAAACCAATTTTGGGAATTTTTTTTAAGAAATTACCAAATATACAAAAATATCAACATTTTCTTTTTGAAGCATCTAATCTTGGTGTGGTCAAAACTCAGGAGATTGCTAATGGACCTTTTGCTGAATTCAATTTATTTAAAAACCAAGGAAACAGAAGAAATTAGAGCTTTATCTATTTTAGTGTTAACACCTCCTCCTTTGGACTATAAAAGACAAGAATATCTTTACCAGAATATTCATCCATTTGTGAAAGATGAATACAAAGATATTACTTGCCCAAAACCATTCTATACTGGCAACAAATAAAATATTTAGAACAAAAACACCTTCATTACTTTATCATGCTTGTTAATTTGTCCCTTACTGTCATTAATAAGTTTAATATTTTGACAAATATTGTTAGCCTTTTCCACTTTTAAAAAAAAAATACTAAAATAATTTATATACTCATAAAAAGGATATAAGTATATTAAAAGAATAAATAAAAAAAAATCATGGTAGACACAATAAATGAACTTCAAGAGAGAAATAAACAATTATTAGAAGAAATCAATAATATTAACAAAAAAAGAGAACAAGAAATAGAAGAACTCAAATTAAAAATCTGACATGTTACTGGTCAGTCTATTGATGAAAATGGTGAAGTTAGTATGTATGCTCCTACAGGAACAAGAAACTAAACAAAAAATGAATGGATGAAGGTAAATTAAGAATGGCAGTAGATCCTAATGAAACTAGAGAATGAGCCAAGAATTGTAAAAGAATTTATTTTGATAACATTACCATTGAAGAAATGTTAGATGGGTTTATTGATAGTTCTAATGAGTTAAGTTCACAATGGTTAGACTATTTGGGAAAATGAAGTAGACTAATAGTAAACTTTATGAGCAAAAGAGAGACTATGAAAAGAAAATTGAGGAGTTAGAGGCAAAAAAGGAGGAATTGGAAGCAAGAGTAGAAGAGTTAGATGATGAAGTATGAATGGAGCGAGAAGAGGC